GAGTTGAAGGCCACAGCAAGTGTTTTCTTCTATAAGATATTGCACAAAAATTGGTCTATGTGAGTATAAAAATAGATCTTCTTATAAAAGAGCACAATTGCTACCATGTCAATTCTAATAGGTCTCCAAAACCAAATAGATATTGTCAATCAGAAACTCAAGCATCTTTTGATGTCAACTTCAGAGTACTTGTGTGTGCAATCAGAATTTGTTTTAACAAAATAATTTTGCAAATGACCAATGATCAGATAAGTTAATCTACGAGTTCAAATGATGTAAATTCATGTAATGGTGATCCAAAAGAAAAAAAAATTGAGTTGTGGACTTTTCTTGAAAACATTTTTATATCAAACTTCATTTTACAGAGTGTCCATTGGGAACTTATGGTGTAAACTGCACTGGAAGTTGTGTGGAGGGTTTTTACGGAAGACTCTGTAGGTCAGAGTGTTACTGTCCTATAGAAAGGTGTGATGTAAGATATGGCTGTCAAATAGGAACCATGGGTAATTCTAAATGTTTTGTGTCTAACTTGTTTATAAAATGTTGTATAATCTGTAAATTTATGTTCTTTACCCTCTTCTCTTTGGAACTTGATCCCATCTCTAAAAAATTCAAGGGCCCTTGCTTTTTGCCCGCTGCTTCATATATTTGTATTGTTTTGATATTTTTTTTTAACGATCACTGTTCTTTATTTGCACTTTTTACATATTATTACACTTTCAATTTTTTCAATTCAATTACATTAATAACATTGATGTATATTTGTTTTTGTTAAGATGTATATGTTATGAAAATTAGCTTTAATTAAGTATTGTTTTCTTTCAAAGGAAAATACAGAGAGGGTCCTAGTGAGTGGACAAACCTGACGTATGCCCTGGTTGGAGCTGTAATTACAATGAGTCTAATTGGTCTACTCTTCTATCTGAGATCCTGGTAATGTGGGCAAAGTGAAACTATTGAATTTTTTTTAATACTTTTGAATTATTTACCAATATAATGCATTATAACTAGCATTCTTTTTTTTACTATAACTATTATTTATTTTTGACTGATTAATGTGAAATTTTTCCTGTAGGTTTTCAAGGCCACGTGATTGTTTTGCTCCTTCCGATCGGCTCACTACAGAACCAGCTGGTAAGAATATTGTATTGTCTGTAAACATTAAAAATAAATACTTTAATTAAAGATTTTTTTAATCAAAATAAGGATTATTGAAGAAAAATATTGCTCAGTGAATACATTTCTAAAAGAAAATTGCAGGCTTAATACTCAAACCTCAATTAATTTTAAAAAGAATCATATTACGGTAAAGTGTAGTGTAATCAAATAATAGATCAGAACGTAAATGCTTACTTTCTGTATGAAGAAACTCAGAGAGATGGATTCGAATTTCCTGGAAGTTCTTCGTCAGGTGGAGCCGGAAATGTTTTATCGAGCACACGTGAACAACCAGATGTGAATACTTTATACGGATTTGAGATTTTCCAGAATGCAGTCTCTGTATTGATGATGATGATGATGATGATGATGATGATGATGATGATGATGATGATGAACATGGAGATGATGAAGGAAATAAGAAAATTTTAAAAAATAAATCGTTAATAATAATTTCTCGTCTCTAAATGTAGCATGTAAAATACATAAAATGCCAAAAAGTGACATTTTCAGAACTTTAATGGTAATGTTTTTTAGGTGATATAAGGAGTAAATGTTTAGATAGTGTTGAAAAGAGGTCATAAAAAAGATAATATAATAAAACAGCCGCGTCAATGAAAAGACAAACAATTGAATGAAGAACTTGTTCAAGAGTCTTATCTACCCAGGCCTTTCTCTTCTCGACCTAAGTTATGCTGCTAGCAGCTGGATCGAGTGTAAGTCTTATAAATATGAAATAAATATAATTTCAGATTTTGAAATTAAAATGTTTAACATGCGCATATGTATCTGACCAAGATGTAAAACATTCCGAGTCATCTTAATCAAAGGAGTGTCAACAAGCAGCCAAGACAAAAATTATTTGATGTATTAATTTCAAGTGCAAAACCAACCTCGCCACTTTCTTAAGGATGTTTTGTGTGATATTACGAGTAAATTGTCATCTAGTTTCTCAAAGGGAGAAAGAGTATCATAGAGACTGACTTAGTAATCAGGTTACAAAAGTTGACTACCAAAAGACGTTAACGGTAACCTGAAAACTAAATGTTATAAAAGAAATTGATGACTACATTTTGTATTGTCAACATCTCATATATATGAGGGAATATTTCCAATTCTATTTTTTTCCGAAAAAACTTTGAGAAAATTAGTTGAGTTGATTTCTTGATCATTCTACCTGAATAACAATTTTGCCAACCGATGACCCGGAGCTAAAGAGGCCTTATATAAATAAAAATGTTGTGCCCCAGTCTTTATTTCTGAGTAAAAGATGTTAATATTTCGTAAATTTCGTGCGGCTGGTTTTGTGTTTGACATCAGTGGGCTGGGACTATTGAAATTGACATGGGAGGCCTCGTGTATATCAAATCAATTAATCAACATTATTATTAAAATTTTGAATTTACATTTTTTTTTCTGTGTAATAGAATTATAAAGATACATGTCCAAAACACGTTACATTGTGTATGCATAAATTATCCCGCGTTTCGTAGAATCGTTGACCTCCCTGGCATACTCTACTAAATAGATATTGATTTCTCAAATATTCCCTTATTACCTACATATAAATTTATACCCCCGCTTGAAAAGTGGGATGGTATATAGTGATCGGTATTTCCGTTCGTCTGCACGTCCGTCCGTCCGTCTATTACGCTTTATCTCTTATCCATACCTCCTCTTATACTACTGAGTTAAATTTACTGAAACTTTCACAGAATCTTTATGACATATTGCCATTGTGCACCTTCTATTTTACTTTTTTGTTCGATACGTAATTTAAGTTTCCCATAGCAAAACATGGATATTGCCATTATATGTTTACCTATGACGTCACATATAGAAGCTTATGGATAAAATTTGATAGGACGAGTTATTCCTCTTTACACATTACCGTAAAACAATATATAACAACACATGGACATTATAGGAGGCGGGGGTATATATAAGCTCATTGTTTTTTTTAATTTAAATATGTATCCAATTTCGAGTTGTTGTTTTCATTTGACCTACAAATTATTAAAGGATATTATTAATAAATCCAAAGATTTATCCGATTTTCCACTGCAATCAAATAAAGCCACGCCGTGATGTATTGACCAATCAACGTTTCAGAAGCATTGTGCCAACTTCTTACGAATTCAGCATCCATGTTTTGCTCATGGCGCCATAGTTTCAACTGACAGAAAGGATGTTGCCTAAATTTTAGCTTGATTTTTAACGCTTAAATGTAAAATTTTGTTGCAGGAAAACTCAAAATACATGATAATTTATTGCAGAAAAACATAACGATATTTTTCTCACATGTGAAATGCTAATTATGGTCATAAAATGTGCCCTTTATCACGTTTTCTTAAAAAGTTCGCCCAATTTTCAATCGCTTATATTTCTTTCAGACAGTAACCATGTATTTTATATATATCAAATATATAATTTGAAATAACCATTAAATTAACTACTTAATGACATTGTCAGCAAATACATTCTAACACTATAGATCACTTAATTTTCAGGAAAATCAAACTTGAAATTGCAACTTTTATAAACTTTTTAGAATTTTCTCAAATTGTAATAACCTCTCTATACAACCTTAAGGAATTCTAATTAACGCAAAAAGGTGATCTTCTCAATATCCTTGATAGCCTGATGCATTTCCGAATGCAATCAAAACAAGGAGAGCACACGGCGGGTGTGAAATATCAACAAGAATTTAGTACTTAAGCCAACTTCTTATGTATTCATTCATCCATGTTTGCTCTCCTGATTCGTGACAGAAGTTTGTTTTAACTTTTTTGTAGAATTTTCTTTAGGATTCAGACTTTCTTATACATATTTTTTTATATTTTGTCCTCAGGTTTAACTACTACATTTGTGAGGAGTATGGGGCATATTTGACACACCTGATCCCACCTCTGATGTTTTGGAGGTTTGCTCTGCTCCTCTTTTATATTGTTTTAGCGTTTCGAATACTGTTCGTTATCTCAATATGTTTATTTTTAAATGTTAAATAAAGGGAGATTGGTCATTATTTCATTATCTTCAACTTACTTACGCTAAAGAGATATAACCATGCAAATTATGATATAAGTTTTCTGTAAGTTGCAGATCTGTTTTTCATTTTGAACCCCCTTTCATTTATCATAGACTAATAAAGCTTAAGTGATAAAGAATAAAACTGAAGTGATTTAGAACAGGCCTAAGTATTTATTGTCATGCAGGACCTAAACAGTGTACGGGCACAAAACATTTGATACTTTCAATTTCCTTTGTTTTATTTTTTTTAATTTAAGACATTTAACATGATAGTGAAGTTTTTAAACTTTATTCTACCATATCCGGAATATTCCCTAGATTTTTTAAAGTAATTTCATTTTTTAATTAATTAGATTCCTTCCACCAATATTCGTTATTTTATATCCTAAAAAAGAGTAATGATAAAGAATAAAACTGTAATTAATTTTTTGTAAAAGGCTTAATTTGCATTGTATATCGGTAACATTAAATTTACCTCAATGTGTACATGGACAGTAAACATTCAACTTTTGAGTACTTTATTTCCTTGTGTTTATTTTTTTAATTTACTTCAAAAGGATATTTCGTACATACGAACACCAGTTTTAAATACTTTATTAATATATATATAATAATATAATATAAAACTTTTTTCAATAATTTCATTTTTTTCAGTTAATTAGATTCCTTACACCAGTAATCATTATTTTATATCCTGGAACGAGTGCAGGTACGCAGTTTGATTTTTCCTGTAAAACACTTACAATCGATAACATTAATTATTTACCTCTATGTGTACATGGAAATACTTCAGCACTATTGAAATACTAGTATATTGTGTTTATTTTCCAAATACTTCAAAAGGCACAAGGTACATACGAACACCACGATCTAAATACTTATACTATACGAAAAATGCGAAAAAAAACATTTGTTGAAATGATAGATCTAGAGTCCCCTTGAATAGCTTTATGAAAATTGCACGAAAAACGTGTTAAAAACAATTGACAATCAATGGACAGCTGACACATTATGATTTGTTTTTGTTTTCAAAATTTTCAGATAACAAGTATTTATAACAGTTTATTACTTTGAATATCGTTCTCTTTTACAATGTATGTTATTTGAAAAATACAGCCATCTTTTGAATTGAAATTTTGCTACATCTTAGTGCTTCGTTTTCTTTTTAATGACTTTGAGCTACATCTTAGTGTTTAGTTTTCCTTCCTCATTCAGCAGTTCCACAGACAGCGTACTGGAGTCATTAAACTGAAGCTGTGGTCGTTTCTGAACCTGACTGTATGCATCTGACGGATCAGGTTCAAAACTTCCGTCCTTTTCTTTTGTATTGATATGCGACTCATTTTCCAATAAATCTATTTCTTCGTATGGTTTCTCAAACTCATCTTCTTTGTCTTCAGGGGAAATTGGCTGTTTCTTATGTTCATTTTCGATAGATACAGTCACCATCGATTGGTTATCGGAACTCTCATTGTTACTTTGAATATTACTGTCTGAGCATTTAGGTTTATCTCCATCACATTCTTCGTCTTCTAGTGAAAACACTTCTTCGTAATCTGATATTCTGCTAAGTTTCGACAACCCAGCGGTGTGTCGTTTACGCCAACTGCTATTTGCCAAACTATAAGGACGTGAAGAAAAACGCTTTGGGCGATCCGACTCTCGGGCGGTAAAACTTTTACTTTTTGATATCGAATTTAAAGCGCTTGTCTCATTATCTTTTATCATCCCAAGTTTTCGATTCAGTTGGGCACTTTCTATATAATCTTTAATTGTTTCATCTATTGAACTTTTTTGGCTGAGTACTTTTTTAGAGAATTCACTTTGCTTTATCCCTAACTCTGACGCGCATTCTTCTTTCTGTTTCTCTTTCATTTCCATCGAGTCATATTCTTCATGCATACCCTCTGCATTGTCCTCGAGTTTGAATGAAGCATCTAAAGATCTCAGAGTCATTGATTTCTCCATTGAAGGTGTACGTAGAGACAAGACGTTGTATCCTTCGTGTTCAAAATATCGTTCGTATGCCTCATCATGATCTGCGTCATTGTTGTCATTTACTTCATTTTTATTGCCATTTATCTTTCTTGGAGATGGGAGAGAATCAACAGATGGTGCTCTAGGTTCCTGGACAATTTCCTCGTCCTTTGAGTTGTCATACATAGGCTGCATCTGGGAGAACCTTAGATCTGTATAGCTGTTCAGGTCTTGATGATTTGGTGTCCTCTGTAGAACAGGTTCAGTCTCTGTGGAGGACGAGCTTCTACGACTCTCGTATCTATGTTCCTCCTGGTTTTCTACTTAACAGAAAGCGCGTTTGTCATAATTGCCATTGCTCTATTGTAACTGTCATCCATATAAACATAATACGAACATATTTATTGAAAAACATGCATGATACCAATAAAATGGCCGCAAATTTATTTATCTACGTAATTAGTAAGTACTGCCTTTTAACATTTTTTTAAAGGAATTAAAATCAACTAATTGTTCTCTTCACTATTATGATTTTTTCGTCAAACAATTATTATTTTATAAAAAATAAATCGCCTTTGGAATAATTTTCAATTATTCATGATCATACCTGCCTGATCTGTATACACCTGATTTGTAACAGAAGATGATGAGGCTTTTATTTTCGAGAACCTACAGGAAAGATACTCTGTTATCTCATATTATCAAAGTCAATTACATTTGAAATTGAAATAAGCATTTGGATTTAAAAGTTACATTTATTCTTTACTCAGATGAGCAAAGAGTCTTGATATATTTTTTACCAGGATCTAAGGTAAAACATCAGATTTTCTTCCATTGCTTTGAAATAGGACTCAAAGAAACTTAGTTTACTTGCCTTGCGTATTTAGGATCATTAAATCATAAAACAAATTAGTCTCTGTTTTTTTTTTTCAGAATTACGAAGATTTAGTAAAAAGAACAATATAACGTGCCAAGCAGGAGAAAGCAAGTACATTTAATGCGTAGCATATTTAATAGATTATTGTTTTCAGTCTTCATCAAGGATTTACAATCAAACAGAGACAACAAAAACTGACGAAGGGCAAAAATTTTTCGGGGAATATTGAGCATGCAGTGAGAGTTCTTTCTCGTGCTAAAGATTTATGCGATACAGGACCTCATCAGTTTTTAAGGTCTTATCCGAAATGTACTATATATATTTATGCATTTAAGAAAACCCTTATGATGATAATTCTAGTCCTTAAAATATTTCACGGATATACAGGTTGTGTTAACAAATTAATTAATACTATTGATAATAGTTACCAGTATTTGCCTTTGGACAGCCATATCTGAGATCACATTCTTCTGCTGGGCAGTCACACTTTGATAGACAAAATTTCCCATAATAACCTTTAACACATTCATTTGTGCAGTTAAGACCAAAGGTACCCAGTGGACACTCTGCAATAAGTATGTTGAATTAAAGAAGGACACCAAGAGCTACGAAGATTCGACATGAAGAGAGAGTTTTTAAAAAAAAAAAGAATCGTAACAAATTCTAAAATCAATCCTACTTTGTGCTAAATTTATGATACACTGTTGAGTCTTGTACATGTAGATAATTTTGTTAAAAAATACCACATGATAAATTAATTTTGCACTGAAATACAGACGTTATCATACATGAGTAAAAGTCTATTGATTGGCATTAAAGTACTTCTTTTTGTGAAGACTATCGTAACACAGGGTCTTGGTTTTTAAAGTCTTATCTTGTGATTTCAATTTCTTTAATTCGACGCTGGGCAAACAAGCACCCACTAACTGGGATTCTCTCTTTAGTTGGTCGAAGCGTGGAGAACGAACATTTATCTTAACCCTTCTGTTCACGCTTTAAACGCCATTCAAAACAAGGCTAAAATGACCAGTGTAGTTTTATAAAAGACATGGCATTAATCTACTCATAAATGCTATTCTAATGCTATTTCTCCTCCTTCCTGTTTTATTGTCATGTACGAGGGTTGTTCGAAAAGTTCATGGACAATTGTCATATCTTTTTTATTTGACGCCATATGTTATCCAAATTTGGTAGAAATATTTTAACAATAAATCCAAATGATATGTATTAATTTTTTCAAAATATTACGATTTATTTAAAACTTATCCGGATTTTAAAAATGCAAAAATCGGATCGCGGAGCAGGTCAAAATTTAGTCAGTTACAGACAATATGATAAATAATGTCTATAGCCATATTCTCTGTAAAATATAGAGAAAATAAAGAAAAAAACGAAAAACAACCTAGAAATTCAAATTAAGAATTGTTACATTGATACGTGTACCAAATTATTTTTTTTATATTTTGCTTTGTTGAAAAAAAATCAAATTGAGGAGATAAGTAGTCCTCATTAAAAACGACAAAAACGATGACGTATTAGAACGTCACGGAGCATTAGATACTGAAGCAATTTTGTGTTTTTCTCAGGAAAAATCCTGAATAAACTATAAAAATGTTGAAGGAATCAAGAAAATATGTCACAAGCGAGTTGTGCATGTGTTTACTAATAGTACAGGCAATATTTGAGCTACAAAGACTCTGTATCGGATGAGCATGACCTGTGAAGTAACGGTTTTACTGTAAACATCTGAACAAAACTTAAGAATTTGAAACGTAAATGAAAGACTAATGCCTAGGTCACATTTAAGCCGATGGTCGGGCGACAATTTTTTTTCTGGTCTTGTCGGCTAAAAAACATGATCGGTCGACACGAGTATCGGGCGACACGGAGCAGTCACATTAACTCCTAGGAACACCAATGACTTGGATAAATTACACAACGAATCTTTTTTTTCTTTAGAAATCAGCATTATTTTTCATAGATCTATATTCAGATAGGTGATGTGAGTAATGTTTGCAAGGCGAGGTGGAAAAATTTTGTAAGATTGTAGCTTAATGTTGAAAAGTGTGCAAAATTTTGTATAGAATTACATAAAAAACGAGAAATGGTGTATATATTAGCAGCAAAGAATAATTAGGATTTCTGAATATTATTTCCATTCAAAAAATATGTATCAATCCATGCATCAACATCTTGTTTGTGTTGTGAATCCTTTATAGATTAAATATTCACAAGTCGGCCAATCGTCGCCCGATCATCGAGCTTTGAGCTACAGTTTGATTTTAGCCGTCTTTAGACACCTTTATTGTCAAACGACGGACGACCGATATAATAAACTGAGCGCCGAGGGTCGGACGATGATCGAAGGTTGGTCGACAGATAAATTTAATAGAAGAAATCGGCCACCGACGCAGAAAAATTATAACTTTGACCGATGGACACAAAATTGGTCGGCCGACTAAAAAAGAGGTCAAAATCGGGCAAGACAACGGCCGAGGAAGTGACGACTGTCACCCGAAAAATCCCATTTTTGCCTCAAACCCATCGGCCGTTGGTCGTTTTTGGAAATGTGACTGGGGTTTAAGGCGCATCAAAGTTGCTTATCCTGTGAAAGCAGAGTTAAGGAAATTGAAATCTTAACAAAGGATATTGAACAATGAGATCAATTCTTAAAAAATAAATGTCAAGTATTAGAAAAAGAATTTAATGAATGGGCATTGGAATATTTTGTGTGAAATGTATACATGTAGGTATAGTATCTACTACAAATTCTCTACGCTATGTTTTGACGTCATGCATTGCCGTTTTGTGTGCTCCACGGGTACTAAACATGTTGATTTTTAAATGAAGTAAATATATTTGTATTAAATCGAATGGAATGAAACTTCACACATCAATAAAACAAATATTTTTACATATTATAATGTGCTTGTTCTAAATTTCCGGTGAGTAATATAACGAAGATGGACATCGTCCACGAACTTTTCGAACAACCCTCGTATAAATCTAATAAATACCGAATGTTTTTTATTCAGAATGGTGCATTGGCGAATTGAAAACGGACAGATTGTTTGTTAGAATGAAAGGCAAATTAAAAGTAATGCAAGAGGAAATATACCTCCCCGCAGGCATGCAACGTTGTTTCAACGTTGAAAGAAGGTGGAATATAGGTTGCAACGTTGATCAACTATATTTCAACGTTGTTTCAACGTTGAGGTTTCAACGTTGAATCCTCAACCTTTTTTCAACGTTGAAACAACGTTGAAGCTGCAACATATTTTCAACGTTGAATGTTCGTCGGTATTTCAACGTTGAAACAACGTTGAGGCTGTAACATATTTTCAACGTTGAATGTTCGTCGATATTTCAACGTTGAAACAACGTTGAAGCTGCAACATATTCTCAACGTTTAATGTTCTTTGATATTTCAACTTAGAAACAACGTTGAAGCTGCAACATATTTTCAACGTTGAATGCTCGTCGATATTCAACGTTGAAACAACGTTGAAGATTCAACATGTTTTCAACGTTGAGTATTTTCTGACTATGTAGAGTTAAAACAAGGTTTAAAAATGCAAAGTTGACTGTCTCTTGATTTCAACGTTGAAACAACGTGGAAGATGCAACATATTTTCAACTTCAGGAATTAGGAAA